TTCTGCATCACCATATAGCTGCTGCATCATTTGGCTGCACTCAGCGCTAAAGTCTGCAGCAGAATGCGACTCTGTGTAGTGTACAGATTCCCACAGAGCCAAAGCTTAAAAGTGTAGGAGCAGTTTAAATCATCACGAAACAAAAGGTAGTTTGTACAGATTTTAATAGCACGTCCCAGCAGCACAGCACAATGCACGAAGAAAAAACAGACCGATGGTGTTCTGTAAAACCCCCTGGGAGGATTTGGTTGTGTATTAGCAGGGAGAGCTTTTTACTGCCTTTTGTTCTTGTTGCTGATAAATACACTGATAAAGTTGTCTTACTTCTGCCTTCTGCCTTAGAATTTCCCCAGAATAGGTGTTTGGGGAACTCTTCAGGCTGGTACCTGAGCTTATTCATCTTTGACAGTGCCAGTATGTGAGCGTTCATTGTGCCTGTTGGGAAAGGCTTTTCTAAAACATTTTCTAAATGCTAATTAAATATTTCAACACCATAGTCGAGAAATGGTCATAAGTGCCTAATGCCCCTAATGTTTGGACACATCCCTGGTTCTGTAGATGGAAAACAAAGCAGATCCAACGTGTCCTGTGCACGTTGGAGCTCTTGGACAGGGGAGGGGATCAGGAGGGGAGGAGGCGTGATATTAAATCTAGCACAAGCTATCAATCCAAATATGAGCACAGAGTTTACCTGTTATTATAATAATACACATTTCCATATTACCAAATACTTACATTTTTCTATGCAATGTCTCAAATATGACAGATTATTTAAGGCTGGAACTGAACACATGTATAATTTCCCTTTTTTTTTTTTTTACATGACTGCAGGGTTTAATGGAGAAAAATGATTTTATGCTAACATTTTAAAGTCTGTGTCAGTTTATAAGTGACCACACCTAGATCCTCTCTGTGTATTCTTGTCAGCAGTGAAGGACAGAAAGTTCCTTAAAAGCAGGCGGTGGGGGAAATGTTAAGTCCAGATATTAAAGCCGTCTGGTTAGAAAATGCATATTGCTCTTGGCTTCCCCTCTGAGGCCGGCGGCGGCGGCGGCGGCTCCAGGCAGCGCTGTGGTTGCGTCAGCTCTTTGATGGACAGCCGGGCGAGCTGACATTATTAAGTGCTCCGAGCTTGTTCAGATGGGAAGAGGAGTGTGTGTTTTCATAGGAACATGTGTGTGTATATGCGTGTCAGCTGTATTGAGGGTCAGCAGCCCTGATTCCCCTTGGGGTGGGCGTAGTTATGACAGGCATTCAGCTGGGCTACCGTGACCTCATTTTACAAGAAGGACCTGTAAAAAGGCCCCAGCCGAGCTGAGCCAGGCAGACCGACAGGTGTGGACGGACGGAGGAGAGGAGGGAGGGGGTGATGCCAGGATGGAGGGTGACTTCATGCCGGTGGACTCTGTGGACCACCACAAGCATTACAATAAACCCACGGGATGAGATAATAAAGCGTTACAGATGCAGAGGAATAGAAATAACAGCTTTAGTATCAAAGGTATGGCAGCTAATTTTTATTTTTTTTTAAATCCCACTCGGCTGATAAGTGTTTTGGATTTAATGAATCTGGGATTATGGTTGTATCTCCAGCTTTAGTAGGTTAAGTGAATCCTTGATTTCAATTAGTACTACTTTAGTTTCCAGCAGCTCTCCTTTGATGTAGGCGAGGTGTCACCCCTCTCATCTTTCTCGCACTTTCTCAAGTTATTATTTTATATTTCGTCATATTCTTAAATCCATTCCTTCCTCCCTGTCGTCGTCGTCTCCTTCTCCTCTCTCTCTCTCTCTTCCTCAGTCTTGGACTCTTACAGTTCACTTCAGGAATCCTGCCTTCTCAGCTGTCCAGTGGTGTCCCATGGCAACCCGATTTAGCCTCCACTGCCTCCTCCTCCTCCTCCTCCTCCTCCTCCTCCTTGCCCTACACCCTCCCTCCACTTTTCCTCCTTTTCCTCCTCCTCTTCTACCTAATTTAGCCCCCACTCTTACCCCCTCCTCCCAGCTCCTTCAGCTCCCTACCTCCTCCTCCTTCCTTCACACACCTCCTTGCCTCCTCCGGTTTGGCCTGGTGGCCTGTGTGTGCTGGATTAGGAGTCTGTCTAAATTTGGTCATGCATGGCAAAGGAGACAAGCACCTGCTGGGACCCTGGCTGGTTGGACAGGCGGCCTCTTCTCCCCTCCAGACCCTTACATCAAATTACACCCGGGCCTGGGCATTCCTCTCACTCCTCTCACTTCTCCACTTTGCTGCTCCTTTGTCTCTTCCTCTTCGACCTTCAACATCAACTTAAATAATGTTTTTGAGGCCGTGACAAAGTAGTTTCTGTCTGAAAGTTGTGGAAATTTAACATATAAGTCAACATATTTCCATGAAACACTGCCAGCAGTAAAACATTTTCACAGTCTGCTGAAGTAAATACAGTCCTGGTGCAATAACATCTATAACAGAGCATCCACATTTGTCAGCATTCTTACAAAACTATAGGTTTGTCTGGATAAAACCTCTAATCTGCACGGTGACTAAAGCTGTTCAACAAACGTGTCCCTCTTAAATGTAAATCAAACTGGAGTTAAGGAATAAAGTGGCATAAAATGGAAACACTCATGCAAATGCCTGTTAATTGTTCCTACTCACTGTACTTTCACTGTGGGCCACTGGCCTTTAAATGCTCCACTGAAGAGGGCAAGACTGGATTACATAATGGAAAGAGCACCATAACTGCCCTGGAAGTTATCACAGAATTTCTTTGTGGCTCCCTTCTTAATATACCAAATGATTTCACAAATGTATGATTGACTTTGTTATTGACTATTTAACAAAATGCTCACCTCAGAAAAACATTTAGAAAAAGAAAGTAAAGAAGGTTTATCACAGGTGGATGCACAATTTGGTGTCAACAAGGTGAAATACGACATTTATGAATTGATTTGCCTTCTTGTCTCAGTTTCACACCAGCTTACTTTCTGTTCAATAGAATACATTGTGCATGGGCACAGTGGGATCAGTGGTGGTCTTCATAAAAGAAAACCAAATCAAGACATTTACAGTTTCCTTTAGTTATGTTCATGATGTTTTCACCCAAATTAGGCAAATGACAGAAAAACTGTCTGAAGCACCTCACAACTATAACCGTTAAAATTATCAATTTATGTAATCATTCATCTATAAAATGTCAGAAAGTGATGAATAAATTCAGTTCACAGCTACACTAGACGGAGTAATTTTCTGTCTTTCATTTCCTTAATTGGGAGTTTGTTCTTTCAGCTTTGGTGTGTTCATGTTGCTTCTTAGTCACAGTATGGAAACAGCAGAGATGCCACAAAGAGATTGCATTGTATTTTATTTCTTATAGCATTTAAACAGCTCTAAAGCATTGCTGTACCCGACTTATTATCAGAACTACTGCTAATAAATAACTCGACACTGACAAAGTTTCTTACCATCAACCAGTCATTTACTTTCGGCCTCCATGTTTGGGCACTTGTGACGTCGTGTGCCACAATTTTCACCATCTTTTCTCGTAGTTGTTCCAACCTGAGTGGGCGTTGACGTGAATTTTCCCAGCAGGGAACCTATTTTTGCTATTATTCCGACACCACATAAATCGGCCGCTGGTGTGGTTTCTCTTCTTCTGTCTCTCTCTCTTTGTCAAATACAACAGTTTCTTTTTCTTCCTTCTCTTTCATTAACTTTACTTTGTCTGCCTCTGGTGCTTCGCCTCTCTGTCCACGTGTGGATGCAGCCGTTAGGCAAGGTTTAAACACACACCCACACACTGTAAAAGGACGTATACATTTTGATTTCTAGATTATCTAATGCGCTCTGTTCTAATGGAAAATTTATGCTCTCACCTACTGAGCACAGACCCTGTTTCATTGCTAATTTATACATCTCTCTCCTTCTATGTCCCAGTGTCTCTCTCTCCTCACTCCACCCACGCTATCATCTGTAGTTAGTTATTCAGCTCATGTACTTATTCTGCTTCTACACCCCCACGTCCTCCAAACCCTGGCAAAGTTTTGGCTCTAGTACACACTCAGACGCCTGGGTTTGAACACACACATCCTATTTTCACATTTAAGCTAAACACCATGAAAGCCTCTCAAAATGCCATTCAGCGATTGATTGAATGGCCTGATGGAACCAATTGAATTGTCCCCTATGTGCACAACTGGCGCCATTAGGCAGTTTTCCAGACAGGCCAAAAGCAAGCACTCAGCGGCTGAGAGCCGTTTACATCACCGTCTAGGTTCTGTCCATTGCGCACAGCACCGTCACCTAATGAAGAGTTTGGTTTCCAAAATGAGGTATCTGGCTTTGGAAAGCACCTGCTCTCGCAAATAGCTCAACACAACACTGAGTTAGGACCAGAAATGCTACTTTCTAGGAGGTACTTTTCCTGGCTTAGACTCATTTTGCTGCACCTGATGATACACCTCGTGTCTGACTGCTTAAGAAGTGGTTGTCACTGAGCCTATACTTAGCAAATGTCACACTCCTGGCTGTGTTTAAAGTAAGTATCTGTTGTAAAATAAAAGACGGCGCTTCACATGTGTAATCTAATTTTTATGTCATTTGACAAATGCCACAGCCACAAGCTACACTTAGAAAAGGACAATAAAGTAACCCAATAATAATCTAAAGTCAGATCCAACTAGATCAAGACCTATGAGTAAACAGCGGCTGTCAAACTGACGTAAATGTCAAAGTGTGACTGTAGCCGCTCACCGTCAGCAGCCGGAGTCACAGCAAGGTCACAAATTGAAGAGGACAGTTCAGGCCTTGCTAAGCAGTTCTGACCCTGGTCTCAAAAGGGAAACGTCAAGCTGAGCGTATATGTATGTGTGTGTGTGTGTGTGTGACGTTTGTTGAAGGATGTTTTTCTAGTTGTGTGTGTGGAGCAGGTAAAGCAACGGTGTGGTTGCCCTCGGCCTCAGCGAACGTATACGTTGGAAAGGTGACGGAGTGACCTCTGTATCTCTCTGTGCTTCTCCCTCAGACCTTCACAGCTTGGTGTAACTCCCACTTGAGGAAGGCCGGGACACAGATTGAGAACATTGAAGAGGATTTCAGAAATGGCCTCAAACTCATGCTGCTGCTGGAGGTCATATCAGGTGGAGCTCACACACACACACACACACACACACACACACATTTGCTGTTTGTTTCCTGAGTCATTCTGGATAATATGCTGTAATAATCTGTACTAAAGGAGATAAAGGTTTGCTGTTTCCTTTCTGTCACCTTCTTTGTAAAGACGAGATGCATGCTGATCAGTTCATACTCCTAAATGATTACAGATTTAATAGCTTTTGGTGTCATTAGCTGTTAAACATTAGCTCTTTTTTTCAGCTTTGTGGTTATTTTCCACAGTTTAATACTTCCCTCATCATTTTATCCATAATCTTTTCTCAGTTATAGTAACATTTTACTCACGTGCATGATTTGAGATACTTCCTATCCAGTGCCACAGATTAGAGAGATGATAAGAATTAACTTTTATTAATTTAAAAAAAAAAACAGAAAGAGGAAAACCACAGTATTTGGAGGTGAAACATGGTACATACTGCAACCTAAATATGACCCAGACTAAAAAAAAAGCTGCGTAAACCTTCATATAAATCTAAATGTTTGGTGTTTTCAATACAGATTATATCCTTATCAAGTAATCTGGAGATAGTTTTTTTGTTTGCTTCATCACTTTTTTATTTCGTATATGAAATGGAAAACAATGATGGACATTTTTCTGCTAAAGCCCAAAACCCAGAAGACTCAATTTAGAATGATATTAAACCGACAAAATCAGCAGATGCTCGCATTTGAACAGCTGGAGGGAGAACGTTTCAACATTTCACTCGACTAATAACTTAAGCAATAGCTGGTAATCGACTACATGAGTAATCTGGTAAATCATTTCCTGTGTTTCAGGCGAGAGGCTGCCCAAACCCGACAAAGGCAAGATGCGTTTCCACAAGATCGCCAACGTGAACAAAGCTCTGGACTTCATCTGCAGCAAGGGGGTCAAGCTGGTGTCTATTGGTGCTGAGGGTGAGAGTCCTGCTCTGACTACCAGCTCCCCTCCTGTTACTCGAGTCCCTCTGCTACCTATTATTCCCCTTTTAATTAATATACCAAGGTCACATACTGTAGTATTTGCATTTCTCTGGCCTACTTCTGAGCACCAGATGGCTGAAATTCACAGCACCAGGAGAATTCAGATGAGTTGGCCGTGACAGGAAAGTAAAGCACACATCGCCCAGGTGGAAACAAACACAATGAATTTAGATTAACTGTAAGTTTCTGTGTTCTTGATCAAGTAAGTTAATTGGAAAACTTTCTGCCATGTTGTTGTCTTGACATTATACATGTGTAAGTGCAGGTTGGCTGGTCAGATTAATCTTTGATAGAGTACAAGAAAAAGCTGAGATGGCATCAACATTACCATATTTAATATTAAATCAGATTAGCACAGTTACAGAGGAACAGCAGCAAACTGAACACTTAAGTAAAAAGATGCTCATGAAGCCGAAAACAGTTTCTGTCAAAGAACAATTACAGTAAAAGAAAAACCAAATGAACATTAACAATCTTATTTTTGTGCTCAGATTTGTCCTCTTACCTCCCCAAAGTTGGCTTCTTAAATTGAGCTGAATCAACTCAGCGGGGTAAATACTCTTCAGTAAAGACTGCTGAGAGTTCGTGATGCTGAGAGATTCGCTCGTGCAACGTTCGCAGCACTTCAAAAGCAGTTTGTGGATTTTTTGTGCGACTTCAATTTTCCTCACTCCAATCGCAGTCAAGATTTATTTTCAGCCTTCAGGCCTCCTTGAAATTCAATTTGTCTCAAAAGCAATAGCTTCAAAAGGCACAAACTTGTTTCAATAGCAAACACAGAACTTGTAACCTCGTGGAATCATCAGTGAGACGCAGGCTTTTAGTCGTCTTTATTCTCATTCCTTGCCGTGACGACTAACACGTGTGTTTGTGTTTGCTCTTGCAGAAATTGTTGACGGTAATGTGAAGATGACTCTTGGTATGATCTGGACCATCATCCTGCGTTTCGCCATCCAGGACATCTCTGTGGAAGGTGTGTGTGGACGTGTTGCATACGCCGACATTGACTTCTGCAGTAGCTGCTCAGAACTCTTAAACGCTCAAAGGAACAGTGACGCTCACAAGGCCACATAAAATAGCGACTTTTTACAAGTTTTACACTTTTGTACAGATTGAATAGATGAGATAAATTCCTGAGTATTTGAGTTGCTCCTGTTTGGGGTTTGTTGCAGAGCCAGGCGAGCTGCTCGAACTAGCAACAGGCTGCAGCTTCATATTTAACAGACAGATATGACGCATCAGTTTTTGCATCTTAACTCCTGGGAAAGAAGTGAATATGTGCATTTTCCAAAATGTCAGACTCTTCTGTTTAACTTCAGAGTGAGTTCAGATGAGGATGAGTAATTATTGAGGCGATTTTTGACAAACATGATGAAGCAGACTGATGGTAATCACCACCATGTGAGCACAGTTCACTTTTGACTTTGTTGATCACAATCTCACACACCAACAAAGTGGAAAAAAAGGTTTTCATACATTTGTTCACACAGAGTTCCACATAACAGCCACATGTGTGATTTGTTGCATCCTTGTGTGCAGTAAATCTTCTTCCATCATCCCCTTCATCCTACAAATTTCCCTGAACTGTAGTTGCACCTCATGTCATTTTTGCCAACCTTCGTGTTGTCAGCAGGTCAGCTCACAATAAATTCTTGTTTATAAAGACGGAGACCTTGCTCACCTTGTCCTTCCTCGTGCCTCTGCCCCCTTTTACCTTCAAGTCATCTTCCTTAACTCTCCTTTTATTGCTCCCGCTCTTCAATATTTTCTGCTGTCACGTAGCTTAATTTCCTTTGCCATCGACCTTGTTCTAACCTCTTATAAACGCCTCTTCTTCCCTTCACTAGTGCAGGAAATTATATCTTTAAAAGACCAGTCAGATGAGTTTGAGAGATAGATTTTATTCCAGCTCTGGATCCTAAACATTTAGCATCGGTTTTGCCGTTTCTTTACAATATTTGAACAGTGTGACGTATCACTCATAGCTCGTCTCCTTTCCCCATTACTCTTTCTTGTATACTTTAGCTGTCCTCAGCGTTATTTCTGCTTCCCGTCCTTATTCAAGAATAATGCTCGAATAAATTGTCTCGTCTCAAATGCTCACCATCTTCCTCCCTCAACTTTTCCAGAGACCTCTGCTAAGGAGGGTCTGCTGCTGTGGTGCCAGAGGAAGACTGCCCCCTACAGGAACGTCAACGTGCAGAACTTCCACATCAGGTGGGTCTGCAATGCCGAACTGTGGCATCAGCAGGGAACTGCAATCACTGGGCTCATATTTCTGTTCTGTGTAAAGTTTACCGCTTCTATCTCCAAGATGTTTTGTCATTGTGTGTCTCCTGTTGAACATTTTGACACCTGCCTGATCCCTCTGTCTCATCAACACCTCTCCACAAAAGTCTTTACTCTACTTCACTGTTCCTGCGTTTCCTCCCTTCTCACTCATGTGCTCTCCTCTGCTTTTCCGCCTCCTCTTCTCTTGGCTCAGTTGGAAGGATGGCCTGGCCTTGTGTGCCCTCATCCACAGACACAGACCTGACCTCATTGACTACTCCAAACTGAGAAAGGTGGCCTGTCCTTTCCTCATTTCTTCTTCTTCTTCTTCTTTTTTATTTTTTTTCTGTGCTGAACTGGTCTGTTTTTGGACTTTCTACTGAATCATGATTCATAGGCTTCTTGCAACTGTTCATTGCTCACATACTGCTTTTTCTCCACCTATTGATGACATAATCTGGTACTTTCCAACACTTAATGTCATACACAATATCTAGCAAATATGATATAGTCTAATAAATAGCCTGCCTGCCAAAATCCATGGCCTTGTAGACCATGTATGAGTATATTATTGAAGACATTGATACAAGTTGAGAGCTGCTACTCTCTAGTTCATCACTTAAAACTACGAGAACAAGTAAAATAAATATTGATTTGTCATGCACTGTTTCTGTTTGGATTAGAAAGGATTTGGAAACAGAAATGGGACCTGCACACTGTTGGAAAATTCTTCTGAAACTTCACAAAACTGAAACATTGTTTTGAGTTTTTTGTGGAGTCATCGGTCCTCCATGCAAATCCCATTTCTGTTTCCTTTTTTTTTTATTTCTGGATCATAGTTTTGTTATCATCAAATTTACACCATAAGGTAGTATGGCGCTAACTGTGCTAATCTACGCTGATTGTGTCTGCCTGTAGGATGACCCCATTGGTAACCTGAACACTGCCTTCGAGGTGGCTGAGAAGTTCCTTGACATCCCCAAGATGCTCGACGCTGAAGGTGAGGCTGTCAAACGAAATCAAATGAAAATGAAACGGCAGTAAAAAAAAAAGACAAAACTGCGCAGTAACTTGTCCCTCTTCCCTCTTTATGCTGACACATAATGACAACTTCCACTGGAGTAAAACACACGATGCCAGATGGTGCAAGGACGAGAGGTCCTTCTTACTTGAAATTCAACCACCTGCATTAAAAAATAAGTGCTTTTGAAACCACTTTAAAAGCATCTATTGAGGCGCTGATGGGTCTGACCTCGGAAATTTGGCTGTTTTTTAGGCAAATGTCCTGAAATGACTCATCAATACAAGCCTTAATCATAATGGTACTTAGTTTATGCTGGCATCAGTCATTTTAGTGAGTCATTTCATTTCCGATTGAAGAACATGGCATTTTAAATTAAGAATATGAGTGCGATTGATTTTTTAAATAATACATCCAGAATAACAAAGCTTCTGTATGGAATACAATATGGACAAGAATAAAGGACAAATGTGGGCTGCAGGGTGGTGCAGTTGGTAGCACTGTTGCCTCGCAGCAACCAGTTCGCGTCCCGGTGGGGGCACTGGAATCTTTCTGCGTGGAGTCTCCATGTTCTCCCCGTGCAGCGTGGGTTCTCTCCGGGTTCTCCGGCTTCCTCCCACACAGTCACACAGTCCAGAAACATGTTGAGGTTAATTGGTGATTCTAAATTGTCCCTAGGTGTGAATGTGAGTGTGCTTGGTTGTCTTTCTCTAAGTGCAGCCCTGTGATAGACTGGTGACCTGTCCAGGTGTCCCCTGCCTTCGCCCTGAGTCCCTAGGGTCCCCTAAGACCCTAGAGAGGATTAAGCGGTGTATAGATAATGGATGGATGGATAAAGGACAAATGTGCTATAATGATAAATGTACTTAGCGGTGCTTGTGAGCTTTACCCGATCAGGGATGTTGTTTTAAAAGATGTTTATAATATTTTGATCTTATCATTTGTTCCACCCTCAGATATCGTGAACACACCCAAGCCTGATGAGAAGGCCATCATGACCTACGTGTCCTGCTTCTACCACGCCTTCGCCGGTGCTGAGCAGGTGTGATAGTGATTTATTTTTATGCTATAGTTATATTTCTGTTCCCTCACTAGACCTTGATGCTTACAGTATAACTAACTGTATAACTGTCAACAAGACAAAACAGCAACCCTTAGCAATAGACGTGAGAGCTGCATGAGTGCTGGTTGTATATTTTCCATATATTAAGTGTTGTTACTCTCCTCCTCTCAGGCTGAGACAGCTGCCAACCGTATCTGCAAGGTGCTGGCCGTCAACCAGGAGAATGAGAAACTGATGGAGGAGTACGAGAAACTGGCCAGCGAGGTGAGAAACCGCTGCAATCAAATACTCCCACGCTCAGTCTGTCCTGCACATCCTCCTCTGCAGCAACGCTTTAATGTTCCCGCAGTTTAAACCTGCTGCTTTTTTTTTTTTTTTTTTTAATCTTTCAGGTCCTCCTACTGACTTCATATGACACAGCTCGAAAATCACTGCAGGAAAAATAGATTTTTCACAGTTTTTTTTTTTTTTTTTTTAATCTTTCAGGTCCTCCTACTGACTTCATATGACACAGCTCGAAAATCACTGCAGGAAAAATAGATTTTTCACAGTTTCACAGTCATAGAAACTTAAAAAGAGCAGCTGAGAGCAATATAGCGTACAATCTCTTACAGGGAAATTTAGACTGTATATTATTAAACGGTAAAGGCAAGAGTTTATTTGTAGGATTCCTTCAAATAAATCAGCAATTAATTGAGCTGCTTCAGTAATGATTTTGATTTGGACATATCAAGGCAGTCTGTCAGCTGTTTACTATCATTAAGGTAAAATGCATCTGCTGCTGGTCATTTTAAATAATAATTATCTTCTTGACAGTTGTTTGGAAATGGTAAAGAAACAGAGTGACATGGGAACAGCTGAAATCTTTCAAATCTAAAATCCAAAGTCGAGCACACTGACGTTTTTACAGACACAAGTTAACCAACATGAACCTGCATCCGCATAAGAGTTCCTCTAAGTAGACAGGCCATGCAAAGAAACAAACGTATGCACTCCACATAAGCCAGATGTTTTGAATGATCTTAGGAGTAATCTTCCCCTTTCCCTGGTTTCTGTAGCTGCTCGAGTGGATCCGCCGCACCATCCCCTGGCTGGAGAACCGCGTGGCCGAGCAGACCATGCGCGCCATGCAGCAGAAGCTGGAGGATTTCCGTGACTACCGTCGCATCCACAAGCCGCCCCGTGTGCAGGAGAAATGTCAGCTGGAGATCAACTTCAACACCCTGCAGACCAAGCTGAGGCTCAGCAACAGGCCCGCCTTCATGCCCTCCGAGGGCAAGATGGTGTCGGTGAGCAGAGCAGATTTATAGCTCACTGTGTTGCAGCACAGCAGCATTGTGGGTTTTCTCGCTTTAGCACCAGTTGAGCGATTACTGTTGGTTTCCTGTTGTTTTCCATCCCTTAAAGCTTGTAAAATACTTCCAAAATAAAACTGGAAAATGTTCATTTCAGTAATACTTTTTGCCAGAAAGCATTTACTGTTGCATTTTAATTGCAAAAGAATATTTCAAGGCTTTTACTTTGTTAATTTATTTCAAATTCTGGTGAACTGTACACAGATATCACATTTTCTGAGGGCAGACACTTCATCATTCACAGTCTACTTTGCTAGAGTTCATTATCATTCAAACACTTAATTTCCTCAAACAAGTTTTAATAAATCAGACAAATATTCTTGTTCTCAGGATGCAGTAACAGTCAAACGTCTCCCTCTCCTCAGGATATTGCTAATGCCTGGAAGGGTCTGGAGCAGGTGGAGAAGGGCTACGAGGAGTGGCTGCTGACCGAGATCCGCCGCCTGGAGAGACTCGACCACCTGGCTGAGAAGTTCAAGCAGAAGTGTGCCATGCACGAGTCCTGGACTGGAGGTAAAGACCAAAGACAGGTTTGATAGATGAAAGAGACATAATGTGCATGGAATGTGTAGGTTTGTAATTATCTGTAGTTGCTTTATTGCCAAAGAAATGCAAATCAGACGGACTATAGACTCCTACAGTGTAATCCTCAGAAACCCAAAAATCTTCCAGCAGGTTTGAAAAGTATGTTCAAGAAAACAGAAACTAAAAACAGAAAGAATAGTCAGATATTCAACTTTTCAACAGTCTTTGAACCACTCATCTGTGCTGTTAGGTCAGAAAATTAACCAAATGTAAGTTTAAAATTGTAATATTTATCAAGATCACTTTATTTTACACGTCATTTTAACATTTGCCAAAAATAAACCGTTTGTTCGAACCAGATTCTGTAAAAAACAAAAAAAATCTGAGACTTTTAAGCTGAACTGCAGGAGACAAGTCTGGACACACATTTAAAGTGTAAGCAGTACAATATGTATAGTTTGTGGACCCACCATTTTTTTCAGTCCTGGTAACAGCTTTGAGCACTTGGTTAAAGTGTTCTGGTGGCTCACTGGATTTCTAGATTTTTTGACAGTACTGCCAGATGAAATAAGAATATTGCCCTCTTGTGGCTTGTTCTCCCTCATCTCACCTCAGTCAACGGTGACTTTACACAATCTAAGGCAACATGCCAAAGAATATTTATTAAAATCAGCTCAAATAATGATGAATAATGTGGTTAGACTATGGAATCTTTTGTTGGGACAATTAAATGCCTTAATGAGTCTTAGAAAAGGAGGATCAGAGGCTGAACTAAAACTAGAGCTGCATACATTTAAAAGCTTGTCATCGTGAGGAGGAACATTTTAAACAGTTTCCACAGTTGACGAGACATCCGTGTGTTTCAGGTAAGGAAGATCTTCTGTCCCAGAAGGATTACGAGTCGGCCTCCCTGATGGAGATCAGAGCCCTGATGAGGAAGCACGAGGCCTTTGAGAGCGACCTCGCCGCTCACCAGGACAGAGTGGAGCAGATCGCTGCCATCGCCCAGGAGCTGAAGTAAGACCAGGATCAGGAGGGGGACACTGGGAACTGTGGAAGTGTGTTAGGAAAACTAGAAGAAATGTTCAGGTCATTGGGAGATGCAGAGAAAAAAGTGAGAGAAAAAAAGGTATTAAGAATGAAGATTATACGAGATGAGGGGCTGATTGCGAAAGAGGCTGAACTGAAGTGTTTCCTGAGTCCTAATGGCCTTGATTAGAGAGATATGTTGAGAGCAGATGAAGCTGTGAACACTGTGAAGAACAAAAGATGCAACAGATGAGTGGAAAGCATTTTAATGAGAGTGATAAAAAGATGAAAGGATGATTCATGAAAGCATAGAAACCTCTGATCTCACAGTTTCCATATTCCTCACCACTCCTCAAGGCTTCTTTCCCCCACAGATAGTCTTGAGCTGATCTCTTTGATGTTATATACAGTATATGAGCAGATCAGCCCCATAAAGCTGAATATGTATGTGTGCCACCGGTAATTTATCATTCAGTACTTCAAAAGCACATATTATGTTCCAGGAGCCAAATGTGCTCAGATGACCCCTTACTTGCAGGAATTGGTAAAAATCATGAATGCACGAAATGGCAGAAACTATTCTAGTCTAGTCTGTGTTCAGAGACTCTGGAAAATGTGATCACTGCAAAAATAATTTCAGTTTCCTGAACTTTGACAGTTTTTTGTGTCCTAATATATCCTTACTGAGTTGACCTTACATTGCTGAGGTTGTTATTTTTTTTCTAGTGAGGTAGAAAGTAAATGAACAACATTGTAAAGTTACCTGAATATTCATGTGAATGGATGAAATGACTAATAGCTGTGGTTTCTAACACTCCGCCAGTGAGCTGGACTACCATGATGCTGCCACAGTCAACGCCCGCTGCCAGGGCATCTGTGACCAGTGGGACAACCTGGGCACCCTGACCCAGAAGAGGAGGGACGCACTGGAGGTAAACCTAAAACACTAGGTTATTGAAACAAAAAGACCCAATATGAAGTCTTTCAAAGGTTGTCTTTAAAATCTGCAAATTCTGACGAATCATTTATTTTAGATATGAAATTGTTCATCCAGTAGACAGTAATCTGGCGACACAGGAACGTATTTAACAAAAAATAAATCATTGGGTTTAATTGTGAAAAAAGTAATACTATAGCATGTCAGTTTTGGCCAAAAAAGTCGCGTCGCATAATTTCCTGAAAACGCATCAGGATGTAGTATATAGTGCAAATAGTGTAATGCATGTGGTAGAAAACC